CTCTTGGACACACTCACACACACACACAGTCACACCCACACACGCACACATTCACACTCTCTGCAACACAGCACGACCAGTACAGCACAATGGCGACCAACCGGCTGGCCCCTGGGGCAGCGCACCTGCTCGGCAGCTTCCTCTCCCACAGCCGGCTCCTGGCTGCCGCTGCTGGCGCTGGGCACCGCTTCCACGGGCGATGCTGCCTGCAACTGCTGCTGCTGCTGCTGCTGCTGCTCCTGCTGCGCCTGCGGCACCGCCACCACCTCTGCCTGCGGCGAGCTGGGCGCCGCCTGCGGTTGCTGCTGCGGCTCCTGCTGCTGCGGCGCGGCCTCGGCTGCCTGCAAGGGGGTGGCGCCGAACGCCGCCGCGGCCGCGGCCGCAGCCGCGGCCTTCTGCGCGGCCGCTTTGTGCAGCGCCGCCTGCGACTGCTGTATCTGCTGCTGCAGCACGAGCTGCTGCTGCAGCAGCTGCTGGTGCAGCTGCTGCGACCCCAGCGGCGCCATGGGGAGCGCCTTTACGCCCGGCGCGCCCGCGCCCGCGCCCGCGAGCGGCGCGGCGAGCGGTATGCTGCCCGGCACCATCATCATGCCGGGCGCTGGCGCGAGCATCAGCCCGTTGCTGCCCATGGCGCCGTTGGGCGGGGCCCCGGCGCCGCCGAGTGGCACCGCGGTGAGCGGGCCGCTGCCCAGCGGAAACATCACGGGCACCAGCGGCATGGACATACCCGTAAGAGGCGTCGCGAAAAGCAACGGCTGCGAGGAGGCGCTTAGACCGCCTGATTGCCCTGCTCCTCCCCCTTGGCCCAGATCGCCAAGGCCAGCTTGCCCGTTGAGCCCCCCCGAGCTCATATTAAGTGCAATCCAGCTCGCTTGTTGGATGCCTCAAGTGCTCCGCGAGCGCGCGAGAGAGTTGCTGCAGAACTAGTTTGCTCTCAACGCATGTAGCGCGTGCACGGTATCAAGGGGTAAGCACCCAGGGACGCGTGAATGTATAATTGTAATGATCGATTGCGGATTTTGGAAGGCCCGCTGCTCCGGGAGTGAGGATGACCACCCTAGGCAAAGTCTGAGCTCGGACTTTTGCTTGCGTTGCTGCTTCTGGGCGGTAACAAGGCTTCATCTGGGGGGTTCATGATGTATATGCACGCCAAGAACGCAGAGCGCAGGCACCTGAGGGATGTAACCCGTCCCCGCCCCGGCCTGTGGCACCCAGTGCTCTGGTGTTCCAGGGCGCTGCGCCGTGTGCGCGCAGGGCGGGGGTGGATCGTAGTGGCGTGTGAGACAATTTGAACAATTTGGATTCTAAGAGGAATCTCCTCAGTGCAAGCACAGTCGCGGCAGCCCTTGACTCTTGATCGACAGGCGCTGCCGACACTACACGTGCGGAGCCTCGAGCCAACCCTGGTCTTTGCGCCAGGTGGCGGCAGCCGCTCAATGCCTTCCTCAGGAGTGCACTGCAGCGAGAGCAAGATTTTGGAAGGCATCCAGGGTGTATCAGAGTGCGAGCACCGCTGCGAACCGGCCACATCTGACAACCCTCAGTTTGAGCAGGCCCCCCCCCCCGGGTAAATGCCCAAAAAACATTGCGGCCCTCTCTTTGCCGAGAGCAGGGCACAGCAGCAGCACCCAGATTAGAGACTAGCAGATGCTGCACCCGCTCCGCAGCCAGCATCACGGCTGTCCCAAGGCAGCCGCCTGGTCAATGACAAAAGGTCAAATTCACGTTGCAAGGTCTGTGCATGGAGACAGCGCGCAGCAGGAACGAGAGCACCCAAAAAAGTTTTTATACACGTTCTATCATTTGACAAAGAAATCACCGCCGGGCACCCTGAGCCGCACGTCGCCGCACCGCCACAGCGCCCGAAGCGTCCGCCAGCTCCACTGGCCTGCGGCCGCCTGGGCGCCGGCGCGCATCCGGAGGGCGCCGCCGGCCACGTCAACGCATGTCGGATATCATAAAGACGTCCCGCCGGTTGTAGGTAGCGCCCGCCGCCGCCTCCCCTGGCGGCGGCGACGACATTAGCACACCTGCAGACCATGATTAGGGCGCGTCGATGGTGTTTTCTTGGTGCAGGTGGTCCAGGGGATGAGAAAGTGCGCTTGCAAATGCATGCGTACGGTTTGAATGTGCGCGTGTGGTCCGGTCTTGACGGCGTGCTGTGTTTGCAGCCCGCGCCCGCCCAGGCTCACCAATGCCAGAGATTTTGAATCCAGCTGCGCTCATGGCGTCGTAGGCGCTCGTGCGCGCGAGGCTGATGCCCGCCTGGAGGTCTTGGCACCTGGAGCAGGTGCGTGCGCGCACGTGTGTGGGGGCGGGTGCTTGGAATTAGGGGGTGGGCTCACGCGTGCATGATTGTATTTGCACGTAGTGGTGTGAAGGTGCACGCGGCCATGCGGGGATGGCTTTGGGGTGAGGCAACCGTGCGGACGGGTTGTGTCCAGATGCAATCGAGCCCGGGGCCAAACGGGCCTCGTCGCCCAGGTGGGGGGGGGGGAGTGGGGGAATGGGCGGGACGACATCGGGCCGGCCGTGCGACGCTGCACCGGGGTTTTTGCAGCAGCCCCCGAACCGAGCAGCCAACGAGCCCAGCAGCCAATCACATGCAAATCGATGAGGATCTATCTCCTCCGCGACGCCGCGAGTTTCAGCGCTGCATTTCAAGGGCACTCACCCCTCAGACCGCGCGTAGCCCTCGAGCGCCGCCAGCAGCTCCCCAAACGCCGCCGCGTCCGCCGCCACCGCGATCTTGCAGTACGCGACGCCGAGCGGCGCCTCAGAGTCCGCCGCGGCGCCGCAGTGCACCGCCGCCGCCGCCACGAGCTCGCCCTCATCCGCCTCCTCCCCTACGCCATCGGCGCCGGCGGGCTCTTCGGGCCGTCGGTATACCAGGAGCGCCGCCCCGAAATTCAAATGCTCGACGGCCGACAGCTCGATGCCGATGTCGAGCCCCGGCAGGGCCGCGCGGCCGCAGAGCGCGCGGACGCGCGCGAGCGCGTCGGCGCGGGCGGCGGGCCGCAGGTCCCGCAATCGCAGCGTTGTGTAGGGTGAGGGGGCCGCAGGGGTGGACTCCTGCTGCTCCAGCGGGGCTGGCACGCTTTTTTTCATGATGTAGGAGAGGAAACCCTGTGAGGCGGTGGTGCGTGCATGTTTTTCATGTGTAGAAAAAGGGTGTTTGCTAGCATGCACGCGCGTGTGATGCACCTGGAGCGTTTGTGTCTAGGGAGGCGTGTGTGCGCGCCCGTGTTGAGGGGTGGAGGAAGGAATGCCTGGTCGTGAGGGCAGAGGCTGAGATTTGAGTGGGCCGGCGGGTGCGCCAGACGGCAGTTGCTGAGAGACCGCATGCGCTTCAAGGTTGGCCGGTCGCACGCGCCCATCCCCCTTTGTTGGTGCCGCCGCGCCCCGCGGCAGCGCGCCCGGCCCCACGCGCCCGCAAACCCATCCGCCAGGCCGATCTGGCCCCCCAAACACCAACAGATCCTCCCCAAGCGTTAATGCAGCGCGCCGGCACGGAATGGATCAGGCAAGACGAAGCTTGCCGGCGCCCACCTGCCGCAAGCCGCACGAGCGCAGATACAGCATGTGGTGCTGCGCTGACTCAGCAAACGTGAAGATCTCAATGTGCTCTGCGCCGTGAACTTCCCGCAGGAGCCGCATCGTCTCTGAAAGCAGGGCCTTGGCAACACCTGTAGGCCAGGTGGTTGGTCGTCATTTGAATGCTGGTGGTTCAATGTCGGTGGTCGAGATCTGCTTGTCGTATGTCAAGGCCCGCGCTGAGACGCGGGGGAAGAGCGCCGGTCAAGACGGAGCGCCCAGCAGCGCCTGCAGCCAAATGTATGGCCGAAGGCGCCGCAGTCGCGGGCGCAGCCACCGCCCAGCCGAAGCAGGACGGCGCGGCGCGGGGCCTTGCCTCAGCGGGCACACGAGGGGCGCACGGGCCGGTGGGCAGGGTGTGCACGTTGGCGCCGCGCCGCGCGGCCCGGCTCACCCTTTCCCTGGCGAGCGGGGTCGACCGCCAAAGGACCGAAGAAGCCGGCCGTGCCCCAGACGCCCGCGAGGATGCAGCCTGTAGGTGGGGCATGCCCCAGAGAGGAAGGGTGGGGGGTGGTCGGGGGTGGTCGGGGGTTGAGAGTCTGGCAGAAGAGGGGCCATTCAGGAGGTGAGGGGCTGTGCGGCAATGCGCAGGGCCCGGGGCGGCGGCGGCGGACCACGTGCGGCGGCGCGCCGACGAGGGCACGTAGGGGTTGTGCCCGTTCGAGCGGCGTGCAGCGGTGGGGCAGAGGGACGCGAGCATGCTGGCGGGCGGCGCAGTGCGGAGGGGGGGCGTGCCGATGCTGCCAGCAGCCGGGCGCGCTTGGAGATGCTCACCCAGGATGTCCCCATCAGGCGCTTCCGCGATCAACGACACCTGGGGGACAAGCAAGAATATGGAGTCATGGTTTTTGGGGGTCGTCGTCATTGGGTTGGGGGCGGACAGTTTCGGGGGTTGTTGTTGACTGTGGGTAAAGGGCAAGGAGCAGGGGTATTTGCGACTACCTGGGTGGGACTAAGTGGAGGCCCAGGGGCCACCAGGGCCCATGGTGGCTGGCGCAGGCGCTAGCGCCGGCGCTGGCGGGTCGTGCGCACGGGCGGGTGCGGGGAGGTGCCCAATGCGCGTGGCTGCGAGGCTGTGTGTGTCGCAGACCCCTCGGCGCAGCATGCAGGGCGCCAAGTCTTGCTTGCAAGCCCAGTGTAGGGATCGGGAGAGGGGGAAGGTGAGGGGCGATCTGAAATCCCCTTGATTTTTCAACTGAGGTGATAGCAAAGCACTGCCATTGCCCCCTGAGCTTCCGCAATGTCGTCCTGCCAGCCGGCCACACCTGCAGGTATCGCCTTCGAGCTGCCCAGTTTGTATGCACCATCCAGAAGGGCGCGTCGGGCGCGAGCCCTAGCCGGTCGCGGAACGCCGAGACGATCAGCGCCTGCGCGGCAGCCTCGTCCTCCGCGCGCATGCTGCGCACGCTGACCGCCGCGGGGGCCGTCGCAGCGCTGGCAGCATCGCCGGCGGCGGCGGCCGTGGGCGCCACGCGTTCAGCGGGCCTGTTTTGAATAGGAGGCGGGCGGGCTGAGAGGCACTGCTTGTCGTTGGCGAAGGGGGCGTGTCGGTCTGCGCAGTCACCAGGCTATCGGCGGACTGCTTTGGCCGGTGGCCGCGGGCGGGTGGCGGATGGGGATAACAGAAGCACGGCAGCAGGCTTACACAAACATATGAAAACAACTCTCGGCACGCGAGCAGTGACGATTGCCCATTTACTCACGCCGGCTGGCTTGAGCTCAGCTGGGCTTGCGTGGGTGGGGCTGGCTGTCACGGCAGACACCGCACATGGCAAATGTGGCAAGCAGCGGTATGCATGGCGAATGCACAGCAAATCATTACTCACTTGCTTGCCATGCGAGGCAGCCACGTGTGACTCGTCCCCCTCGCTGGTCCGTGCAACGATCTGGTGCAGCTCGCTGGGCGCAAATTCATGTGTATTGTCGAGTGAAGATCACGACAGAGGCAAGGGTGATACGACACCACCCAAATCTCGCTTCAGTTATGTACGCTTCTGCGGCAGTGGTGGGCACTCTGTACTGTCGGCTGGCTGTCGTGTCCTGCGCGCTTCATCACCGCTGTGCCTCAACTCACCATCATCTCCGCCTCAATTCATCGGGTACACATTTCACACACCTGAATCAACCCATCGTTATGAATCTCTTGCATAAATGCATTTGCTTGCGGCTCAGCGGGCGTGCGGCTTGGTGACGGGCTGCTCGCTGGTGCGGCTCATGGCGGGAGCGCTCCCGCCCCCTTGCACGGCCATCAGGCTGTGCGTGGGATACACGTGAAAAAGAAGTCCAGGATGTGCAACTGCTGGTGGGGAAAGCTGAACGCATGTCGTCAAAGCGCGTGCCCTCAACCATCAGGCCCTGCCTGCGGCAGCGAAAGGCGGCTGGGGAGGGCGGGGGTAGGGCGGGGCGCACATGCCTTAGGGGGCGTGCACAGCGCGTGCGCGTGCACAGCGCGTGCGCGTGCACAGCGCGTGTGTCGCAAAATTGCGCGCGCAGGCATGCACGCCTGCCATGGCCAACACCGCGCGCGTCAGTCATGGCGCCGCCCGGTGCGCTGGCCTGGAAGTGCACAACAAAAACGGGGAACAGGCGCGTGAGCACGTAAACACCACAGGGCACGGAGGAAGCCAGGACGAGTCTTGAGGGCAGCGGCCATACCCCCTGCGCCGCTGAGCCCCACGTGCCGCTTGCGCCCCTATAGGCAAGCTAAAGTCTGCCTGCTGCCTCGCTGGCCTGCAGGCTGTCCATCTAGCCTTCAATCAGCCACTCATGTACAGTACACCTGGAGTTTGTGTGATGTGTCTTCTGGTATTTTCGTTCTACAAACTCCTGTACCCATTCCTGGTGAATTTAGCAGTTTACTGTATTGTCATCCTGAACTCGAGTGCTGCTGCCTTGTCTGCTGCCGGCATGTGATGTGTTCCATGCACGCATCCTGCTGGCTGGCTGGCGTGTGCATACAGCCTTGTCTGGTACCTTTTCTGCTCAATTATCAAAGCTTCCTGGAGTGCTGGTGCTCAGCGGGGGGCCGAGCGGAGTAAAAAGTCAACTGTTGCAGCCGCATCTGCTGCCGCAGCAGTGCAGGGAGTGCAGCGCTCATTCCTTGCACCAGCATCAGTTTGAAGATACGATAGCTGGCTTGCTGCATTTATTGCCCAAGTAGAAGATTGTGTACGCACAGTCTCTGAGCCTTATGTTACGGTACCACTTCAACAGCGCACTCCACTGTCAGCGTCTTCCCTCTACAGCTTTGCCAGTCCTCGTGATCGGAACGGCCGCTATTGTAACTCAAGGTTCGGGTAACAGCTCTAGATGCGTCTGCATTGGCAGGCCGTGGCCCCGAGGGCGACAAATGATGAGTATGTGACAGTCACCTCACGTTGAGACTTTACCGTACTATGTTGCGCACTGCTGAGGCCCTGTAGATGATGCCACTGTGCTGCTGATCGCCTGGGTGCAGGCAGCGCTGGGCCCCTCCAAACTCAAGGAGCTTCACGGCCGACCCCGTCCATCTCGTGGCGTCGCGCTGCGGCCTGGGCTGAGAGGAGGCGAAGAGGACTCCACAGCTGCTAAGTGAGAGCAGGGGAGGGACTGGATGGCGCGCTGCTGCTTTGGTGCAACCTCTCGCTCGGTGCAGATCTGCGACGGTTGCACATGCTGCAGCCTGAGGCGAGCATCCCCAAAGAGCATGCCTTCACGCGCGGGTGAAGAGATTGAAGATGCCAGCTGGTCAGCGTACAAATCTTTTGCACGCCGTCCAAGTGCCAAGCACAGCGCGTGCATCGGTCTTTTTGTTCCTTTGACTAAGCTCAGACTCAGATGCCATGCACAGAAATTGCTGGATACAGGCGGGTGTCTTCAACTGCTCAAGCAATGCAGCAGCAGAAGGATGCAGGCATTGAGTGAGGGGGTGCAGCAGGAGAGCCACTCTCATCGCTTATTCCCCCAATTCACGCGAGCCCAGGATGTGCTGACTGTGCATCAGGCAGTTTGTGTGTGTGGGGCGCGGAGTTCAACTGGCCTTGGCTTCGAGTGTGCAGGCGGCATGAGGGTTCATGCTGAGCAGTACGAGTTGGTTGCGCCAGGTGAATCAGCAAAGACAGTGCCGTATAATCTGCGGCGCCCTAAGGATGCCTGTACCTGTATGGGTTGTAGAGACCCCGGACACAGTGCATCAGCTGACTGCGGCTGTTCGGCGTGCATGGAGCACCATGCATCCTGCGTGCCCTTTCCATCGTACTGCATCAACCTCGAGCCCTTTCCCGCGCGTCACGCTGGGCTGTGCCACTGCTCTCAGGCATCAACAAGGTCCAGCTGCTGCGCCACGGGCCCCTCCCGGCGCTGAACTACCATCCCGCCAGCGCCACCTCATCATCAACGCCATACCAGCACAACCCCGAGCGCGTCGTGCCATGGGAGCGTGTCGCAGGCACCAGTCTGGCCTTACGTGATGCCATTCTCCACCACACAGCGACGCAGCCTGCATCTGGCAGCTTTGCGGCGCCCGTGGTACCGACAGCGACGGCTTATTACGGCACCGAGCTCGGCGCACACATCGCAGCCCTTTGCGGCGTCGTTAGCCCGGTCAACGAGCTGCTGCAGGACGGCGGCGAGTGCTGCGGTGTGACGTCACAGCACTTCTGTTGGGTGGCTCAGAGGAGCAGCCGGCCGCCTGGCTCACAGGACCACACTGCGTTCATACCAGTGGACCCAGGGACCAAGCCTGTCTTTGAACTCATACACAAGGAGTCCAAGGCAGTCCAGTGCACCATCCAGGTGGAAAGACGGTGAGGGTCTCCTTTGTCTGAGGTCAATGTTCCCAAACTTGTTTGGCTCCTTCTTGCATTTTTGGGTGATTGCTTGCTTTTGGTCAATCTATGGAGGCAGCGTGCTGGGCCCCGTGCCTTGTGCACAACACCGTCCTCCTCCGGTACCTCCCACATATGCAGGGAAGTCCTGCCGACCAGCTCCTCTGTTAGCCTGCACACCCTCTGGAACAAGCATGTGCTTGTCCAGCAGCAGCAACAGGAGCTGGGTGTGCCTGTCTTACATCAGCGGGAGCAGGAAGTGCCTATCCAGCTGCAGCAGGAGCAGCAAGAGCAGCGGCAGGAAGAGCATCAGCAGCGACAGCAGGGTCACCGTCCGCCAGCGCATCAGGCGCATCATCAGCAGCAGGAGCAACAGCAAGAGCAGCAGCAGGAGCAGGACGACCTGCAGCTGAGCGGGCGAGTCGTCAGGGTCCTGTCGCAGGCCTTCACGTACATGTGCCTGCGCGGCCACAAGTATGCAGCCATCACGAACTACGACCGCACCTGGCTGCTGTGCTGCGAGGCAGGCAACGTCCTGCAGGTGTCTCAGGGCTTTGGCAGAGACAACACCGACCCGACACCGCGTGAGGTATGGGCCTCGCTGCCTTCAGCGCCCGCTGTTGCTGCACAATCCTGCATTTTGGCCGCCGCTGGCTCATCGGTCCCCCTGATGAGTGCTGCAGGGTCAACGTCACACGGTCTGATGGTCAGCCTTGATGCAAAGCGTGCGTATCTATGGCCTGACTCACGACACGGGCTGAGCTCCCCCCCCCCCCCCC